TTGATGTCTCTGATGTCGTTAATAGATGTCCTCTTCTCTTGATGTCGTTAATAGATAGCCCACCAGCGGCCGAGCGGTAAAGTCGCTGAACACTGGTAGTTCGGTCCGAGGTTCGAATCCCGCGAACGGGCTGGCTGCATGGGTGTTTTCGTGGTTTTCCCCATGTGTAACGTGTATACGAGCCAATTTCCCTTAGAAAGTCCTTCACGAAAGGCATCCCTCCTCTTAGGCAGATAGCCCTGGTGTGCTTTCCCATAATTAAATACACCACTACCACACGTTAATAGATATTTTAATAAATATTTTCTAATAGATTATAAGGTATTTCTCCCGCCTTCCTAGCATGTATTCGTGGTGTAGTGGTTCTGCACGCTGAACCGGTATTCCATAGGTCCGTGGTTCCATTCCCAGCGAAAGCGGTTTCTAATTTTTCAATCTCTCTTGCTTTCAAAAAATCCTAATGTCTCTACAAGATAATGGAATGAATGTAATTTAATGTCAATTAAAAAAGTGTACCTTTATATTAAGACAGATTTATGGCTCTAATATTTCTTTCGCAATTAACTGTTATGTAAGCTTAATTGTTTTCTTATACCATTTATTGTACATAACTGAAATATTTACTTTGAGACAGGCACACACACACACACGTAATAATAATAAATCCTATATTTACAATAAAAAAATCCAAAGAATATTCTCTATTACATTTTTATTTCACCACAGCAGATTTAAATTATTTTGGAAATGAATATGATGTCTCTTTTTGAAAAAAATTCAAAATCAAAATTCTCTTTTTCGAAATCATTTTGCACACATGTACACATATATGTATGTTTCTCGCATTGTGTTAAAACAACGGTACCTAGAGCCATCCGATTTTGAATAAGGTACGTCTCCACCCGAATATGGGCATCTGGAAGCCCAAATTTGGATTGGATTATTTAATTATGGCAAAGCACACGAGGGTATCTGCCTAAAGGGAGCGATGCCTTCGTTTAGGGCTTTCTAAGGGAAACTGGCTCGTATACACGTTACACATGGGGGAAAAACCACGAAACATGCATGCAGCCAGCCCATTCGCAGGATCCGAACCTCAGACCGACTACCAGTGTTCAGCGTCTTTACCGCTCAGCCGCTGGTGGGCCCCAATTTGGAATTTGGAAGTTCTTTTATTTTCTATTTCATATTTTTGTAAAAAATTTAACGAATTTTTGATTAACAAACTCAAAGATTTAAAAAAGCGAGCAATGGCAATATTCTACGGGGGGGGGACCTTTTTATCACCAGCGCGCGAAACTGTGTATCAGAAATTCTAAAGATATTCTCATTTTAAAATTATTTTGCGATATTACTGTAGAACTGAATTTTATGGTTTAAGTGCGAAGAACATGATATTTAATAAAAGATGACAACACACAAAACTTAAAAAAAAAAGGCCCCTTTGGACGTAATTTAATATTTGAAACCTTTCAGATTTTAAATTTTTTTTAAGATCCAAAGGGACAGTTTGCTCTGAAAGACTATTAATTTCGTTTTGGATTTTGCGTTGGAAACGTTAAAAGGGTGCATCACTTTTCAAATCGTTGCCACCATATATTATCGCTCTGTCTTATATTTAAAGAAATTATATAATGAAGAATCTACATGAATGCGTGTATGTTCCTCGCATTGTGATAAAACAACGGTACCTAGCGCCATCAAAATTGGATAATATAATTTTCCATAGAATATAGGCATTTGGAAGCTCCTAGTTTGAATTCGAAATTCGTTTTATTATCCAATTCGTATTTTGTAACACTTCAAAGAATTTTTTATTAACAAACTAAACGATTTCAAAGTGAGCAACGGCAAATACTGTACGGGTAAAAAAAAAAAAAAAAAAAAAAAATCTCCAGCGCGCGAGACTTTGTATCGAAAATTCTAAACATGTAGAAACATTAGGTTACTTCGATGTAAGAGATGTGAAAAATAAGCAATATCCTCGCCGGAAATCGTATTACCCACCTCTCGAATACGCGCCGAGCATCCTGACCACTATTACTACGAAGGCCTGCTAAGAAGGAGGGAGAAATAACTTATATTCTCACCCTTTTTAAAGGGCGACTGGGGATTAGGCGACCCAGTTGCCAAATCATGGTGGTGGAGAATCATTGTTGTGAGCTCCATGATTTATATTTGGTAACGACATTCATCAGCCGTTGTGTTCCATTTTAGACAGATATTTTTTTTTTCAGTTTGGCAACAGTAAGAAAGCTTGGAATAATGTTTTGATTTCCTTAAGTGTGTAAGAAAATAAAGTTTGGCTTTCTTAAGCAAGAAAACGTAATTGTTTATTTAAAATATTTTCTTCTCACGTGTTATAGAATGGAGTCAAATTTAATTTAAAGGCAAAAACGACTGAATGAAACAATATTCAGGTAGATTCAACGCAACAATCATCATCTACCATCTTTTTTAGTTCGGGCGCCATTGTATAGACATCAGGTTGTTTCGAAGCAAGCGAGATGAAAAATGAGCAGTGCCTTCGCCGGGACTACGTAAACTACGGACCTCTCGAATACACGCCGAGAGTGCGGACTGACCACTGCATTACGAAGGCATGCCAAGAAGGCGGGAGAAATACCTTATAAAGATATGCTCATTTTAAAATTATTTTGCGATATTGTTGACCCAAAATGTTCAAGAAAACGCCTCTTTGGACGTAATATAAATCTGAAACTTTTCAGATTTTTTTATTATTATTATTATTTAGTTAACTCAAAGGAGGCAATTTTCCCAGAAGGACTATTAATTTCGTCTTGGTATTTTGCGTTGATTCACATGCGTTGGTTTCACTTTTAAAATTGTTGTCACCAAACACAAGTATTATCACCCTCTGTATTATATTTAAAGAAATTAAAATAATGAAGAATGTGCATGTAAGTTTCTTGCATAATAATAAAACATAGGTACCTAAAGACATCAAATTTTGAATAACGTAATCCTCCTGAGAATATGGGCATCTAGAAGTGCAAATTTGGAATTTGTTTTATTATCGATTTCATATTTTGGTAAAACTTTAACGAATTTTTTATTAACAAACTCAAGGATTTCAAAGCGAGCAATGGCAACGCTGTACAGAAAAAAAAAAATTATCTCCAGTGTACGAAAATATGTATCGGAAATTCTAAAAATATACTCAATTTAAAGTTATTTTGCAAAATAGCTCTTGAACTGAATTTTATGGTTTAAGTGCGAAGAACTTGGTAAAGGTAACACACAAAATGTTAAAACGACGCCCTTGTGAAAGTAATTTAAAATCTGAAATCTTTCAGATTTTTTTCGTCCAAAGGATCAATTTACCCAGAAGAACTATTAATTTCGTTTTGACATTTTGCACCCCTTCACGATAAGCGTTGTTTCAATTTTCAAATTTTCGCCACCAAATATTATCTCCCTGTATTATATTTAAAGAAATTAAATAATGAAGAATCTGTATGAACGTAAGTATTTTTCTCGCATTGTGATAAAACAGCGGCACCTAGAGCCATCGAAATTCGAATAACGTAATCTTCCATAGAATATGGGTATGTATAAGTCCTAATTTGAATTTGCAATTTGTTTTATTATCGATTTCATATTTTGTAACACTTCACTGAATTTTTGATTAACAAACTTAGAGATTTCAAAGTGAAGAGTGGCAACAATGTACGAAAAAAAATATTTTTATCTCCAGCGCGCGAGAGACTGTGTATCGGAAATTCTAAAGATATGTTCATTTTAAAATTATTTTGCGATATTGCTGTTGAACTGAATTTTTATGGTGGTTGAGTACGTAGAACATGATATTTAATAAACAAAGGTAGCACGCAAAACGTTAAAAAAAGGCCTCTTTGGAAATAATTTAAAATCTAAACCTTTCAGATTTTTTTTATTTAACTTTTTTATTATTTTTCATCTTTTCCTGATAGCCTTCCGTAGGCTCCATCATTTCTAATTTTAAAAATTAACCCTGACTGCAGCCAAACGATTGCGAAAATAAAAGCCATATAAGGAAGATGGATATAATATTATATATGATATATAGACTCTATTCCTATATCCTATATATATATATATATATACTTTTGCATTTAATTATAATTTATTTAATATATATATATACGTTTGATAGTTTATTCGGCGATTGCAATACAAAATGGGTGGTGCACATCTAGATGTTATACAGCGATCCCATATACGAAATTTTCAACGTTCTACAACTTAATCATTTTTGAGTTATGCGAAATGTATACATACGTACGTACACGTCATGAAAAAATCCTTTTTTAAGTATCAGCTTAGAGTCATATCCCTTTAATCCCACTTAGCAATCCGTGTTTGGGGAAAAAAGAGTCCTTCATTGTGTTTCCGTACGTACATACGTCACCCAAAAAATGTAATCCTGCATGGATTCTGTAATGGTCAAAAATGGATATTTCCGTAGAAATATGATACCCAATATTTTTTCGCGATTACAAGTACTTACTTCCTTTTACTTCGTACAAGTAAGTAAAGAACGTATATTAACCTACATATTCTTATATATAAACAATACCTAAGTGCAGTGTATAAATATTTCAAATCAATAAAATCTCACAATGGCACAGTCAAGAGAAAATCAATAATTATTTAAATTATCCAAATTTTCAAATTACAAACATAATATGTACTATAAATCTTAATGTAAACCAAAGAAAGTACAAAATAACGCTTCACGCTGTCAAAATGGCTCATCTTATTAAATATCATCAACTAAATAATATTTCAACTAAAATACAAACACATAATATAAATAAGAGTTTACCCGATGAATTACACAAAAAAGTACGAAATTATCAATAAAAAAAATATGCGCGCATTGTGACGCACAGGTATTGTTAGCAACCTCATCATTCGTATTCGAACAGCAACCGCATTCGTATTCGAGTAGAAACCGCATCATTCCTACTCGCATCGTATGAGTAACGAAATGGATGCGAGTAACGAAATTGATTTGTGAGTACCGAATCGGTACTTCGAGTCAACCGATGTACCCGTTACTCGGTAACGAATACATGCGGTTTGCTCCAGCTCTAATCGTAATAAGTATTCCATCATGGCTGGCTGTTTGTAGCAGTCAGGAGGATGGAAATAAATATTATTTTATTAGTGTGTAATTTGTTTCAAATTGCAGTTTACAGTCATCATGCACGGATGTCTGTCAACAATAGAAACTCGAGACTAGAAACATGGCTGACAGTGAAACAGAGGACAACATTAACAAAGCCATAGAAGCATGCAACACCGCTCAAGCTATGATAGATATTAATGCGGAACATCTTGACGGATTGCGAACACAGTGTGCTACTAGTGCTGAACTAACACAACATGAAATTAGAACACTTGAAGTAAGTGTATCGAAAAATATAGGCTAAAAAATTTGACTGTATATGACAAATTCAATTTAGCTCTTAATGTTATTTACATAATGATAATTTTCTATCTAAAATTATTCACTGCTATTTAATTATTTAATATTTGTGATTTTTAAAATTTCTCGTGTTCTTTCTAAACTTAGCAGCTTCTAATTCTGAGTTTCTGAATAAATATTACTTGTATTTCTGCACGTTCAAGCAATTATTACCATGTATGATTAAACTAAAAATTTTTGTTTCGCTATTTTTCAGAGTAAACTTATAAAATTATTTAGTCGTCAGTTAGTTGCTAAACTAAAATGTCCAGAAAGCGCAACACTTCCGGAATTGGTTCAATATCCTCGTTTGCAGAAGTGGCTTCAAGTTGTTGGCCTCTGTCAAAAATCCATGGAGGTAAGTCAAAATTTTAATGGAATTTCTTCGTACTTTTCTGTTATCGGGAACGGATTCAGAAATGCACATATGCAAATATGCATCAGACATGCATATGTACATACTTAACATGTATATGTATATATGTAGTTACATACATACATTACATTACATTTCTGAGTCCGGCCCCGATAGCAGAAAAGTACTCATTTCTTGCGTGAAAAAGTTTTCACTTGATTAACCTTTCTAATTTTATGAACCTTCCGCATTTTTTGTATATGCTCGTTTATGAATTTCATGATGTAGTGGAGTTACAATTAGTTTTCTGTGTTGTATGATTACTGTAATTTCACTCATAGTATGATTACTGTAATTTCACTCATATGATCATCTAATATTTCTATTACATATTGCTTGGTATTGTACCTCCCTTTTGTAGCAACTTGTAACATTCTTAAAATAGCTGTGTGTATTAATTGTAAAAGTAAGTCAGAATTAATAATGGATTTATATGTTGACATATACAACAGTACAAATGTAAATTTATTTGCTGTTTAGTTGTGGTTATTCCATTTGTTAAAATACTAGTCTATTACCATTCAGGTAATTAAGAGTCATTAACTATGGTGGTGTTAAGATAAAATAACATACTGAACAAGTATCAATTTAGAAGTCAAACAACAAAAATCAGCATTATATTTGCAAATTTTCATAGGACTAGTGTCAATGGTTTACCAAACCATCATCCTCAGCTACCAATGACTTCTAAATTATGGTAGTGTTTTAGTTTTAAACTGACTCTTCCATGCTTGTTTCCACTGGTGACCAGCTAAACCCAAGTAAACTTTTGCAAATTTACACAAATTAAATTTACACAAGCACCCATTTAAATAATATTCTTGAATGTTTTACTGTAAATAGTTATGTTATTCAATAATATATGTGTAGATCTGTTGGATTATAATTAAAAGTTTTGTTTCTTATTATTTTGTTCTCTCTTATTTTTATATTGGAGAAATTGACAATAAGATCAGCATCATAAGCATGTATTTTTGTATGCATACATATATGGAATTCAACTGATAAAATGAATTTCATTTATGCTAAATAAAATAAGCTAAAATTTCAACATTATTGTGGTGAAACTAACATGCAAACAATCCATTATGCAAAACAATGCCAACATGCAAAACAGCATGAAATTAACGTATTTAAAATTGCAGATTTCTAAGGGAATTTCAAGTGGGATTCTCCCAAGAGGTTTCACCATAGTGATCAATATGCTATGATGCATAATCGGTCTGCTTGGAAATCTGTATATAAAATTTATACATATGCTATTAAAGGATTTTGCAAATGAAAGAGAAATTCAAAATATGTTAATTAGGAAATGTGCTGTTAATATATTTCATATTATCCCTTGGTGAAAATTGACAATGTTTTGGTGCCATGCATGTTTATGTCTAGTGCCCTCCCCAATAAAATTGTATCTAAAACATATTGCAATAAAATATAATTAAAACAAAAAATATATAATTTCGATAAACTGCTCACCAGCGGCCAAGTGGTAAAGACGCTGAACACTGGTAGTTCGTCCGAGGTTCGAATCCCGTGAACAGGCTGGCTGCATGGGCGTTTTCATGGTTTTTCCCCTTGTGTAACGTGTATACGAGCCAGTTCCCCTTAGAAAGTCCTCCACAAAGGCATCCCTCCCCTTAGGCAGATAGCCCTCGAGGCTTTGCCATAATCACACACACATTTCGATAAAATGCATTTTAAATCAAACAAGAAAATAACATAAAAATTGAAATACATGTTAGCAATCTATGCAGTAAATAAAAGAAATATCTAATTACTGTATTTAAAAATTTCTGTATCTTCAATATGCGACACAGAATTTCTTAACAGCATCCGAAAACTGTCTTAAATTATCCGAACTAGAATCTGTGTATTGCCATCGCCACATAAATTTGCAAAAGCAAAAATCGAATTTATTCACTCTTAATCATTTTAGTATTAGCTTCACACATCCACGTAAAAATCAAAATTTCGGTAATAATCAAATGACACTCCTCAAACCATGATCTCTTTCTAATTGAGCACTTAGTGAGCATTTGAACCTTTTTGCGACAAACCCATTCATAGCCATCTAAACAATTTTTACGTTCAATCATACGCACTTCCTTCGTACAAGCAGGACACTTATAATGATTACTGCGTAAACCTTCATTTACACACCAGTCAATTAATGTTCTCTTCCTATTCATTCCAAATCATACAGAAACTTTAGATTAACCTTATCACAACAGCCATTTATGTATACATATGTACATTTCTAAATCTGGTCCTACTAAGAGAAAAATGTCATTTTTTTTATAATAATTGTTTTCACTCTATTAACAGCAATAGTATTTAGTTTCAGAAAAATCTTCAATTTTAAAATGTCCTATTTTTGACTGCATTTATTTTTGAAAAATACATGCCTCAGAATCAAAGAATTGTTGTAGTAAATAAATGAAACAATCTACTAAAAACATTCAAAATTATTCTTATTGCATTTTACTGCCATTTTGAGCCATAATCAGAAATGAACTATAATTTTGAGCTTGAAAAGGAAACATATAATTTGCATAAATAGGTGCACTGCCATTTAAAGTTTTTTTTTTTTTTTTTTTTTTTTTGTTTGTTTGTTTGTTTGTTTGTTTGTGAATGAAAAATGTGAAACTTTTTTTTTTTTAGTTCAAAATGTTAAACATAAAAACTATGCTTTTATTGGGAATTGAACTCAATACTCTCCATTTAGTTTTCGTATGTAATATTTACAACATTACTTGGATTGGATTTTGGATTGATTACCTTTAATTTCTTATAATTAAAATTTTGAAATGTTATAAAATGTTCTAAGTTAAATAAAGATGAGAATAAAAAATTAAGTGCAAAATTACTTTTTTTAGGACATACTTTTTTTTAGAAAGAAATACTGATGAAACGTATGGTATTCTATCATAGCAAACTAGGTCAGTTTTTAAGTAAATATAATCTAAGATCATTTCTTAATTTTAAATTAAAAATTGAGAGTACATTTTGATTTCCTGGTGATTAAATGCCAAGTTTGACAGTGTTTGTTGTCAAATGATATTGCAAAACCAATAAGGAATTTTTTTTTTTTTTCAGTTTATGTGTTTTATAGTTGAAAAGCACCTATGCATCATTGGTGCTTAAAAGCAAACCCAAAAGCAGAAAACAAAAATTGAGGAATATATACTTCGTTAGTAGAAATTATTTTTCCCCGGATTCAAAATAATGACAAATTTTTCCTCGAACAAAAGTGATGCATTTGAATTCTTTCAAGAAAGGGATGTTTTAACAAGACTGCTTCATAAGGGTGCTGCGCACAGCAACCAACTTATATAGCCAAGGCATCATTATGAAGACAGAAATCTTCATAATGACGCCACGGCATAAGGGAGTGCGCAAAAACTGAAGATTGGTTTCTGGCTTGAAATCAATTGTCAGCACCCTTATGTAAGTCTGATTTTTGTTTTAATTACTGATTAATTAATCCGTAATTACTGTAAGTTATGTAAGCGTATTTTTTAAATGCTGTAAAAAGATTTAAATTATAGTACCCTTAATCTCAAAGTTTTTCTGTCTAGATACCTGGAAATAACTTAGAATATTCATGACAGTAGTTCCAAAATTGAGTCTCATATAGCTAAAGAAGAAAACCAGCTCAAGAAATTGTGCAGAAATTCTGACTCTGTGATTAGAATGGAAAAATTATAGAAAATGATACTGAGTAAAAAGATTTAAATTATAGTACCCTTAATCTCAAAGTTTTTCTGTCTAGATACCTGGAAGTAACTTAGAATAATCATGACACTAGTTCCAAAATTGAGTCTCTTATAACTAAAGAAGAAAACCAGCTCAAGAAATTGTGCAGAAATTCTGACTCTGTGATTAGAATGGAAAAATTATAGAAAATGATACTAAGTTATCTGAAGAAAGGTTAAGAAGATATGACATGATCTGCCAAAGAGAAGAGATATCTTCATGGAGGATTTCCTAAGGGTATTGAATTATGCATGGGAGAAACCATGTAAACCAGCCATGCACTTTCGCCTGGGATTGAACTCGGGTTGAACTCCCAGTATTCAACGTTAGTTGTTCTTTCTCCACTAGTTTGGTCTGTCAGAAGAAAGACTAAGATTCCATTATAAAAGAAGTGGCAAATCATGGAATTATGAAGTAAAATTTCAAAAGCAAAATAACAATAACAGATAGAGGTCGTGATGCTAAAAAAAATTTTCAAATTATTGCAGTATGGTTCTGTGTATAGAAATGCCGGTTTTTCTGAAAATAATGACAAGAGACATATTTCATAGGAAGGCCTGGCAAGCGTTTTTGTGCAGTAGTAATTTTGCACATTAATTGCAAAAAATCCCCGTCTACCTAGTGAGAGGTTTGTGGTAAAATACCATGCAAGATGTGTTAAATAGTCTTAACTCTAGGTTTTTTTTTTTTTCTTTCTAAAATTTGAGCTTCTAATTCTAACCATTACTGCTTATTATAGGTTGTTTGATTTGGTGCTTCTATTCTGTTTATTTTCTGATTTCAAATTCACAAAATGCAACTTTCTCTCTTGTATTTTCTTTCCTGAATCCTTTGTTTTAAGTTAAAAACTACTTCTTAAATGAATGGGCAATATTTGACATTTAATGCTGAGTATATGTTTTCTGGACTGCAATCACAATTTCTTGCTGCTTCATGGGTTTCTGCCATGTTTCGGACTTTGCTAAACTTTTGTGCGTTTTCTTCTGTCTGCAAGCAAATTAATTTTTAATACCTAGAAGTAACTTTTTCTTTAATTGGTCTAACACTAAAATAATGTTTTGCGACTTCTTACTAGAAACGGAATATCCATACCTTTCAGCAAGAATTAAATATAGATTGGCCTGTCACCATTTGACTCTTTTGATGTGTGTATGAGATTCTGCTGGGTTTAAATGATTGCAACATAT